ATAAAGCCTAAGACTATTGTTCAACATTTCACCAACCTTTTTAACTATTATTGGTCACCATATTTACAAAGCTATTAAATATTTATTTCAGTATAACTATCTCCTCAGAAGAGCTATGCCACTATCATTGCCCCTAATTCCTAAAATTAGCCATGCAAATAATGTTTCTGAATATAGACCCATATTCCTTTATAATACTTTCTATAAAATTATTGCCAACATTTTGACAAATAAATTAAAACCTTTTATGAAAGCTTTGATTCATCTTACCCAAGCAAGTTTCATTCAAAAGATGATCTATATTAACAATATTATCCTAATCACTAAATTGCTTAGGGAGTTCAACAAATTGCCTTCTCAAAAGTTTTTTTTTTTTTGGTGCTAAATTAGACATTTGCAAAACTTTTGATACCCTATCAAGAAGCTTTATTTTAAGCAAACTAGAGCATGAAGAGATGTCTTTAGTTTTCACATCATGGATTAAAGCTTGTATTTATAATGTTCATTACTCTATATGCTTTAATGAGGGCCTAGATGGATTATTCTCCTCCACCTCTAGGTGAAGGTAGGGTTGCCCTTTATTCCCATACCTCTTCTATTTTTCTACATTCTCTCTAATTTAATCAATTCAGCTACTACCCCACACTTTTTTAGGGTATTAAAGTTCATAATCATAACTTTAGTTGTTTATTATATGCCAATGATCTTTTGATTTTTGGCAAAATTTGTGTTCATAATGCTACTTTCCTGAACATAATTTTAGCTCACTTATCCACTATGTTTGGACTGAATATAAATAAAGCTAAAAGTTCCATTATTTTATCAAACCATACTCTTCATGCTATGGAAATTTGTAATAAACTTAAACTTTGGCAGGGAATGCATTGCTTTACCTTGGGATTCTAAATTCTCTTAAGAAACTTCATATAACTAACTTTGAATGTATTAATGACTAAGGTTTCATGGGTTGGAAAGCAAAGCTTCTCTCCTTTGCAAATAGGCTTCAATTTTTGAGACATATCATATGGAATTATATAACTTACTAGATGTGGTTCTTTTTTACCAAAATCTTCTTGCAAGTTCATTGATAAGATATGTGCAAAATAACAAGAAAATGCATCTAATTTCATGGCAAAATACTTATTTACCCAAAAAATTTGGTCTTAGGATTCATGTAACTCCTGTGCTTCAACATACCTACCCAAAGATGGTTGTTGCCTCTTTCAATCAGTTTTAACGTGATGTCTTTCTCTCTCGCTCTCAGGGGTGTGCTAGGGCATCGACCTAGCCATCGATGCCCTAGCACACCCCTTCCGGTCCTTCCGACCGATCCTCCTCCGCATTTCCTGCTGGGTGCTTCTCCTCGATTGGCTCAGGGAAGTTTATTCTCCTTTTTTGTTCTGCTCTTCGCGTCATTTTCATTTTCTTTTTATTTTTATGGCGCATCCACATTTTCGGGATCTTGATTTTTTTGGTTGGATCCTCCTCTCATTCGTTTAAGGATGCTCTTTCTAGTTATTCGCCTTCTTCCGTTGTCTTTCCCGAACATAAGGTTTCTTCAAATAGAGGTTTGCCTACTATGTGGATTTAGGAGGCGGAAATCCAGTCGCTGGATGCACCATTCGAATTTGTTATGGTTGGAAAATTCCCTGGTCGTAGGCCATCCCTTGATGCAATTAAGAGTTTCTTTTTTAAGCTTAAGCTAAACGAAAATGTTTACGTCACTATTTTGAACCAACATAACATTTTGATTAAGTTCTTTAACTATTTGGATTATTATAGGGTCTTTGCTCATAGGTCGTATTTTGTGAGTAATTGTTATATGAAATTGATTAAATGATCACCTACCTTGGATATTGAGATTGAATCGCCGGTTATCCCTATATGGATTTCCTTCCCTAACCTTCGGCCTCATCTATTTGCCCCACATATTCTTCATGGATTAGGCTTGATTTTTGGCAAACCCTTGAAAACGGATAATGCTACTTCCACTGTTTCACATCCGTCTGTTATGCGCGTTTTAGTTGAGCTGGATGTGTCCAAACAGTACCCGAACAAAATTTGGATAGGTCCAAATAGCATTGAGTATGTTTAATTTGTGGTTTTTGAAGAATTTCCTGAGTATTGTGCTCATTGTTTAGCTTTGGGGCATTTGAAAGCTGGTTGTAGGATTCTTCACCCTAACCTTGATTCATCTGCCTTGCCTCCTCCTAATTTGTTGGGGGATGGTCGCCATGTTGGTATTGATTCTGCTGTGAATGGTTTACCTGAGCCCTCTAATGACAATGTTATTATTTCAATGGCTCCGACAGGTATTATTGGTTCTGATTATGTTGTGAATAGATCACCCGAGCCCTCTAATGTCCATGTTATTGTCTCTCCTGTTTTTCCTTCTTTGGGAGGTTCTCCTCTTGTGGTCATTGAATCAGGTGTTGTCCTAGATTGTGTGGATTCCTCTAGATCTTCTCAAGTTCCTACTCTAATTGTCAATATCCCTACTGATTGTGTGGATGATGAATTGGTGGTGTATGGTGATATGGATGGGGTTGTTTCCCCTAATTTGGTTCCTCCCATTGTAGTTGTATCGGGTATCAACTGTTGTATGAATTTTAATGAAAGTCCTAGTCACGTGGAGGATGGGGCTTTGATTGTTGGCAAGTATGGTGAACAAGGTGTGGTTTTTGATGGGGAGGCAGGTGAGAAGGTGGCACTTGTTGAGGTACCTATTTCAATTATCTCAAATGCTAATTTAATTGCCCATTCAGTTAGATGGCAATGTAATTAATTGCAGGATGACATTTCAATTAATAGTAGGGAGGATGATATCAATATCAAAACAAGCTTGCTTGATAAGTCATTTCGCAACATAGGCATAAATCCAATATATGATTCTCTTTTTCTAATTTTCATTGTTTTGGTTACCTTCTCAAGGGTTGGTTGACAAACTGGATGGCTCATTTTGCTAATTTGACTGCTTCTCAATTTCAATTTTATTGTCTCCCATGGATGGCCCTACCCTGACAACTCGGTGTTGGTCTAAGTTTGCACATTTATATGCTCCCCATCTAATTATCAATTTACATTGCTTCTTGTTTTTTACTTTGAAATTGATTGATGCGGCCCTATGAGTGATCTTTTATTGTATCTTTCTCTTTAATGAAATTTGGTTAGTAAAAAAAAAAAAAATCCTATTATTTTTCCCTTATTAAACATTTACATTGTCTAGAAAGACCCTTAGCCATGTGATGTAAGACTCAGTACACTTCCCCTTAAGAAAATTTAAATCCTTTTTTTTTTCTAGAAAGCTTTATATAAGGTAGCAGTTATTACCAAAAAAACTAACTTTTCCTTTAATATCACCCCTCATAGTCACCTCTTGTTGATTTGGGATCACTTGTTTAATGGTAATTCTCAAGTTGACACCTTTGGTTTACCACTTTTAACTCAATTTTTCCCCTCATGCTCTTATTAAAGACTACATTACTGCTACTCATTGGAACCTCCCCTATAACCTTCCCCAGCCAATCCAACAAGCTTTACTCTCCACCCAAATTTCTCCTGCTTCCTGCAATATTTTATTGTTGGGTGGGGCTAACAAAGCTTCTTTTAAAGCTCTCCTTACGCTATCACACCAATTTTGCTCCGATTTACTCTATTTAAACTAAGGATCTTAAAACAATAGATTTTTTGTTGATGCATGATATTCCTAAGGATATGTGATGCAATCTATATGCTCTAAAAGACTAAAAGTTTAGCTCATTTATTTTTTGAATGTAATTTTTCATTCAAAATCATATCAGCTATTTTGGCAAGGACTAATCTCATTCAACATTTTAATTTATTTATTGATTACTATTTTGCCCATCTAGCAGAAAGGAACTTTTATTTTCTAACTGCATGTTGCTTCCTCTACTTCATTTGAAGGGAAAGGAATTCAAGAAGATAAGATTCATAGTGCAAGAATGAAATTAGGTTCTCCTAAGTCCCAACTTTCCCCTCCAAAAACAATCCTACGGGTACTTTGTAACTTCATAAACATCAATGAACTTCAAAATGTTACGTTTTTTGGTGATGGAATATTTAAACAAAAAGTTGTGAAAACCCATTATCATAATTCATGGCAAACTAGGCAATCACCAACTATAAAAAACATCTTGTCATTGTACAATATAATATCATAGCGTATGAGTAAAATGAACAATATAATATCATATGGCAACAAAAGAATTCACATTTTCCATATTTGGCATTAAGAAAATTCCAATCTAGCTTCCAAAGACATGAACTACACTAGTTCATTAAAAGAAGTAACAGTTTTTTTTTTTTTGAATTGCTTATGTTTAACCACATACATCATCATATATTCTCAATAATTAACATCAAAGCTATATCAACATCGAAATCACCTACGTGGTTAATAGTGTCACTTAGACCCCCTACATTGATCATGCATGTAGCTCTTGAAGTCAATTAACATTGGCTCCAATATTTTCATTACAAAAGTCAAGATTAATAGCAAAGTCAACAATATAACATAAAAGCTACTCACCTTAATCTATTAGTAAGAGCTTTGACATTGACTTAAATATCCCCCTCCCAAGAAAAAAAAATTATATGATCCAACTATAAAATTAATGACAAAATAAGAATGCACAAAGACATGATCAAGCAATTAGGTAATGCCAATACTCTTTAATAACTTCCAAAATTAAACTTAGGAATGGAAATTCTAAAATTTATAAGCACGTTAGAATAAAATCATATGACATTTGCCACTTGCAATATGTCAATAATGCAACAAACGTTTTGTAAAACACTTCAGCAAATGGTAGCAAGTTGACTAATAAATCTCCAATCCTCTCATTCATATCATTGACTCAAATCAAAAGAGCAATAACCAACTTGCATCAAGACTGCATCCACATGATCCGATACTTAATTACAAAAAGATAAAAACATATTAAAATTCTTTTTTTGCCTGCAAAATTAAGAGAATCTACTCATTCTTCCTCATTCTCAGACTCTCTATTATCTTTCTCTACACCTTTTTCCTCAGTATCATTCTCCTCTTTGGCCTGCCAAGGAAAGTAACTACATTTAACATCAATTTTAATTAGATTACCAAAACTACTAAATTAAGAAGTTGCGCATACATACTTCTTCATTTTCAGCATCGTTCTCAGCCTTGTCATACTCTGCCTTCAGCTCTGCAGCTTTATCCAAATAAGGCTTTTTTTCCTGTAATAAATCATAAATTTAACCTCTAATAGGAACAAAGTTATTTCTTCTGCCCGGGTAGTCATTAGAAATTGTTAAGAGACTGACCTCATCTGTCATGGATTTCCATTTCACACCACCCTCTTTCGCAACCTTTTATCCAGAAAAAATATGATCATAAAGCAAAAAAATAGTGTTTCTTAAACATAAAACTAAAATTCTGGGTCAGATGTTCTTTTACCAAAGCAACGCTCTTATTGTCAGGGTTAGCCTCCTTGAATTCTTTCCTAAAATCCTCCCTGAATTAAGAGAAATCATTTAAACATCAACAATTTTAATGGGCAATTTTAGAACAATCGTTAAAAGATGAGAAACAAATGAACATTTACATGTAGAGAAAGAATGCCGTCGGGGGACGTTTGCGTTTGTTAGAATCACGTCCTTTCTTTTCCTTCTTGGATTTCCTCTCTTTCTGAGTTGAAGAGGCAGCTCTCTTCCTACAAATATTGAAATTTCCCCTATTAGATGAACGTTTAACAAAACTTAAGTAATATATGAAAAGATCTAAAATTGAGGATGCATTACTTCTCTGGCTTCTTCACCTCAGTTACCTTTTCCACCACCTGAGCCTCTGAAATTTCAAAAGAAAAGACAACATTTACACATGAGCAAAAGAAACATAATAGTAAGCTGAATACCTTAAAAGAATTACCGAGATTCATTTTAATTTTCGAATCCATGCCGCAATCATGCATATCGATTAGCCCAACATGTATATCCTTTTTGCAAGCTTCACTGGCAAAAGATACTCTTGGGTTAACAAAACTCCAAATAGAAAACTCAATAAAAATTTTTAAGTACAGGAAATCTGCTACGAGATCTTGATTCAAAAAACTATAAAAAAAAATTAAAAAAAAATGTGAAAAAAGAAAGGAAAAACATGATAAACAACAAGGGAATCGATTATTAGGAGATAGATAACACAATACCATTTCGTGAAAGCGCTCCCATCCCTTGCTCGCTTCATCGTTGTCGGTGTCTCCGCCTCCACCCTCTTCCTCTGTTTCGGCGTATGAAGCGTCGAAGAACCTCCAGCCATCTCTACGAATTCTGACGAGTGAAAACAGGGAAAGAACAGAACTTGACATCATAGACAGTAGAATCTGACTTATAGTAGGAAGATAATTTGAAAAGTTTTTTGATTTCGCTCGCTTTTTTTGCCGCCACTTATAGAGCCCGCGGGAAAACGTGGAAATTTGCCGGACGATCCCGCTCGGTTCAATCTCCTTCATTAGTAGCCGTTCGATGGGAGTCCAAATCCCACGGTTAATATTCATTTCACTTTGCAAACGGGTCATGCACGCACCTGTGTAAACCCATGTCACTATGACAGCCCATGTGTCAAGTGTGTGCACCTGATTTAAGGGACCGATCAGGTAAACTGCTAAAGCGTAAACAAAATATATTGTCACAAGTTCTGTTTATTTGAAAGGGATATTTTGCTTTGTATGCCCCATAGTATCTTACTTGGAAGTAATCTATTCATTATTTTATTTATTGATAAAATATGCATCACAATTTTGTTCTTCTCAAAATACCCTCGCTATGGACTGTGTACTAATTTGTTATATTTGCTACAATAAAAATTTATTCAACAGCATTCGACCAAGTTTAATATTGTCGTTGCCAAGTCTCAGAGTCTTATACTAGAATAGTGAAAAATTACATTATGAAGTCAATTGTCAGCGTAAAATTTATCAAATAATCATGAGATGAATTCAACATTTGATCAAGTTTGAAATTATATATAACAATATTTTGGTGCATGCTAAAAATATTGTTTTAAACATGACTAAATGTGAATCAACCATCTTCCAAAAAAAATGTAAATTAATATTCAAACATGTTTTGAATAGGGTTTTTAAAAATATTATTCAAAAATTATAAAATAGTTGAATTGCGTGATCAAATAAGATTTATGTAGTGTTTGAAGATTGTTCAAACTTATTAAAAAATACAATATAATAAATCAACATGCAATCACAATGGCTATAACACAACAGATTATAAGACTGACACAATAAAACACATCTTATATTTAATAAAGCAGTTATAATGTTTTCCAACAACATGTTTAGCACAATTACAATTGCTATGATATAACATATAAAAAGTTTGAAATAAATTTAATAAATCACACTATTGATGGGTGGGATGTGAGTGCAGGTGCGCGAGGCTGATAGCGTGCACGGGTGCAGGCGTTGGTTGCTAGATGCGACGCGACGCGACGTGACGCGATTGTTGGTGCATGAAACTAGCATCACAAGGGTGTGATGCGAGGTAGATCACAGCGTCAGGAGCGTCTTGAGTGACGAGCGTGAAGCAGTGCACCTGGAGCAAGACACGAGCGTGAGTCACGTGATGCAGTCTAGGACGAGCTATGGTGATCCAGGTCACATGCGAGTTTTCGAGTCAACATGAACCAAACCCAATTTTAAAAATGGGTCTGAATGTTGAACTCAAACCCGGTCCATCTACTAAACGATTTGACCCGGACCTATAATTGTTTAGTTCAAGCCCGGGTTAGGTTTCTGATTAGGTCAAATTTTAATAATCTATCCATCATTATCATATACCAGAATTTATGCTGTAAAATTTTGCTAAAAATTAATATATCACAACTTTTGTAATATTTGACCGAATTAAAATATATAAAATTTAATATACACAAAATCATTGAAATTAGAGATCGAGTAATTGTTCCAATCAATAAGATGAACAACTTTTACAACGGGATGGACTCTAAAAAATAACTCTAAGACTTTCAAACTCTAAGTTTCTTTATCTCTCTTCTCACTTTTCCTCTTATTTTCTCTCTAACTGATATTTGCTAGTCGAATCAAGAATAGGAAAGCATATTAATGCGACCACTGACTTGAGGTATTTTATTTTATAATAAAATAATAATATAATATTAATATAATTATGTAATTATTTACTTTTTAACAAATAGTTCTTATAATTTCTTTATATCTTCAAATTTGTAACTTTTAAAATTTTATAAAAATATTCATCAAATAATCCATCATATTTCTAATTTTTTTATGAAATCGGTTTGCAAAATGAACACCTAAGAGTCTCAAAATCACCACTTGTAATGATAGTTTATTAAGGATTTACACCAATGCTAAAAATTAAAAAAAAAATTGTATAATAAAAGCATTACACTATCTATTTTATGATGAAAATGATTTTTGATGTGGACTTATAAATACTTCTAAAAAATTTATTTGTCTAAATCAAAATACAGATTAATTCATAAATAAATAAATAAATAAAGGTCCTGCTAAGTAGACTTATTTAGATACATAACATGAAGGCCAGGCTTTAGCATGTATTTAGAATTTTGTTTTGAATTTTATAGCTCAGATTTAATCGACTGTTATTGGAAACACTATATTATGGATTATTGTAATTAATTATTTTGAAAAGATAAGTTATGATTTACATACTCTAAATGTTTATTTCATATATTATTGATGATTAGTTGGCTCTATGTATATTCAATTGCGAAAATAAATGTTAGAAATATAGGAAAATAAGATAAAATTTCTCCGTTAATTAGGTCTTGGGGCGTTACATTGCTCTTGCCCCTTTTTTCTCTAATTCTTCTCACAAGAAATGCATTTTGATGTTTAAATCAACGATATTCCCTTTCAAGTTCCAGCACCCATCTTTTTAGAGAAAGGGTTGCTCGTGCTCCCTTTTCTTTTTCATTTATTCTCACAAAAGATGCATTCCACTATCTTAAATAGGTGGTATCCTCTTTCAAGCTCCATCACTCCTCTTTATAGAGAATAAGTTACTTTTACCCCTTCACTTATCCATTTCTTGCAAGAGAGGCATTCCACAGTCTTATATAAGTTGTATCCCCTTTCAAGCTTCAATGCTCTTTTCTATAGAGAACAAGTTGCTCTTGCTCCCCTCTTATTCTCTATTTTCTTCCCACAGGATAAGCCTTCTATTGTCTTGAATAGTCAGTATCCCCTTTCAAGCTTAATTTTTCCTCTCTATAGAGAACGAGATATTCTTGCCCTTTTTTTACTCCATTTTTTTTCTCACAAGAGCGACATTCTACTGTCTTGAATAGACGATATCCCCTTTCAAGCTTCAATGCCTTTCTCTTTAGAGACAAAATTATTTTTTATATGAATTTATAAGTGATACTCATAATTTTTTTCTTAATGGCTAAGCTTTGGTCTTTATATTGAAAAAAGTTTATCAACTCCATTTTGAGAGACTTTTCATTATATTTTGAAGTTCTAAATTTTCTCCCAATATGGAGGTAATTATTACAAAAAAATATTGCACCGCTGGATGTAGAAATCATGTTCATGAAATTATTTCAATTCATGATGTTTTATGTTCAACTCCTTGCATTAATCTTTTAGGTTAATAAGATCATATGTTTAGATGTGATGTAGAATTTTAAAATTTTAATGTTGACATCATGTAAATCGGTAATCTTGTATATGACTTTAAGATATTTATATGAGTTTAACTATGTTTTCTTTCAATTTATTTGAAGTAAATACTCCATCGTTATGTAAGTATAATTTTGATTTGTGAACTTGCCACCATGAGAGAAAACAAAATTCTTTATGCATCTTTAAGATATTTCTTTCTAGTTAAAGCATAATGATTAAAGAAAGTTATTCTTTATGCAACTTTAAGTCTACTAAGATATTTGGTGTACTTATACCTTCTAATATTTATACCTTTTGAATTTTTTTTTAATAATCATATATCTTGTGAGGCTTATATCTTCTGAGGTTTTAGGTGTATATATATATTTTAGGGCTTCTTCCTTCTGAGTTTTTGTACACATGTTCATTTGTCTTTAAAAGAATTATGGTAAGATTGAACTTTTTAATGCTTTGATTTTCTCAATTTTTTTAAGAATAAAAAAAATTGTATCTTATAAGGCTGAAAGAGGTTTTGGACATATATGTACCTTATGAGATTTTTTTAATAATCCTATATCTTATAAGACTTATGACTTTTGAAGTTTTAGGTGTACATATACCTTTTAAAGCATTTGTCTTCCAATATTTTGTACACGTGTTCCTTCTAAGACCCTTATATTTAAAAGTCTTTAAATAATCCTGAACCTTTTAAGGCTTTCACCTTTTCAGATTTTTGAATATGGAGTTTTTTTAGTGAGGATCTTGTACACTACTAGCTTCCATTCGAGGCTATCTCTTGGACGTGTCTTCTTGGGATTATGAATGGATATTTTGTTTATCATTTACCCTCATGGGATATTTGTAGTGAGGACCTCATTTAGTATCAGCTTTTCATTTAGGCTGCTTAATGGGCATGACTTCTCAAGATTGTGTTTATAGCATTGTTTGATGACATTAACTTGTGTAAAAGAGATTTGGGAGAAATCCGCCAATGATGTTTGATATATCTGAGATTATTTATTAGAGTTTTACCCAATGAGTTTAACATATTTAGAAGAGGTTGAAGGAGATCGAAAGAAATCCACCTAGCATGTTTGATCAATCTAAGGTTATTTGTAATAGTATTGCTAGATGATTTTAACTAGTGTGAAAAAGGTTGAATCAAACCCCCTAGGATCAATTATACCTTGATTGGGAGAGGCAAATAGCAATGTATCTCAAACCAAAAGTGATTATTGGTATTTTTTTAGACAATTAATATCTTTTAATGTTAAGACTATAAACTTGTCCAATGAGTGGATGTCCAGTTGAGAATTGTGTAGAGTTTGAAATTCACTTGAAGTTTTCCTCTATTTGTTGAACGCTTTATGAAAGGTTGTTAATAGAAAGACTATCATTGAAGCGCAAACTATTGGAGGGGCTTGTTCAACCATCGCTATATTTGAGATTTCAGCATAAATATGCCTTTGAGGTTACAACCAATGTTACCCCCAGTTTAAATTTATTTTTTCATAAAATTGATGTAGCAATGTATGATGATTGAGATGAGATAAAATAATATTTATTTGTTATTGTAGTGAGGCTACCTCAATATTGAAAAACTTTTTTGGACATGATAGTGATTCATTATAAAGAGACTACCTTGCTACTATCATGCTCAAGACACTGACATGAATAGGGTTGTCAAAATGAGTTTTCGGGTCGGGTTCGAGTCCAACTAAAAAATGACTCGCCATCAATTGTCTCAACCTGAATATGAGCCGGTTAGGGAAAAAGGTCACCAAAATAGACCCAAACCCAGCCTGATTCAAATTCAGGTTGACCCGACACAATCTGCTATGTCGGGTGAGGTTGATCAAGAACGGGACCACAGACGTTTGAGCGGGGCAAACAAGCGAGTGTGCATGTTTGACGACTAGGGAATGCAGGCAAAGGCGAGCCGGTGAGTAGGCAAGCTCGAGCAACGTGTGTCGTGCAGGCTTTTATGAGCCGACGAGTGTGTGCGAATGATTATAAGCATGAAGAGTAGCGTAGCTTTGAGGCGGGGAAGCTCTGAGTGCACAACGGAGTATGTGCGCGGGTTGGTGAGTTGCAATCAGGTTAGTATTTGAAACTCAAACTGAACCCGTTTTCAAATAGGTTGACAAAAATCGAGAATTTTTTAGTCGAATTTTCTGGTCGTGTTAAATATTGACACCCCTATATGTGAACGACCTTTCAAGATTGTAACAAAGGTTTCCACCAAATCAAGAATCATTTCTCATAGACGACGGCAAACACTTATGTGATAGTAAATTTGAGACGATTGAGTATATATTTTACGTCTGAATGTTATATAAAAATTAGTCACACAGATAAAAGTAGTAAAACCAAAATTTTTTTACTTGAAAAACTCAAAAAGGGAAAAAACCATGGGGCTTAGCCCAATTTAAAAAATCTACTATATAGTACATGATACAAAAATTATTCCTTCCTCGCAAGCTAAATAAGAGGAGATTTTTTTATAACAAATGTGTAATTTTTCTTGAGGGGGATAGAAATCAATTGTCCATAGATAGACAATTAAAACCCAATAGTAGAGCTTGATTTTCTTTATGGGGATTATAGAAAACAGGTGTCCACTAGCGAACAAATGTATCTAACATCGAGGTTAAATCTTATCAGGAGTTTGAAGATGGCGGCGATCACTGACTATGGTCACCGGGTGGTGTTGTCGACGACGATGGTTATAAAATGCAATAGAACTATCTATAATTCTCTCAATTATTCCCCTTCTCAAATGAATAATGGAGCCTTATTTATATAGGCTTTTTGGGATGAGTATTTTAATAATTTGAACCAAAATCTAGAACATCCCATCGTACGATCCATATCAATTCCCTCGATCATGAATATTTTTTCAGCATTTAAATAACTTAATGATGTTAGAAATTAGAATTAACTTTTTTGGGCTTGTTGAAGTTGTCTCGTCGAGCCCTTGATTCGACTTTAAGTATGTCTAATTTGAAGATCATTTCGTAATCAAATTAATGTTTAAAGTTTCCAATTATACTTCAAGTGCTTCATTTGAGATCCTTAGAGCTCGAATAGTGAGCCCAGCACGGGTACATCTTAGGTGCCCACCTCAATTTTGCTTAGGGTTACCGATTATCCGTCCTACTTCAACAATACTTTCAAAATTACTTGACTTAAACTGAAAATTCATATTTTCATGAAAGGTTAATCAAAATTAAAGAATAAAATCACCAATGTTAGATGTTTTTTTATGAATTAAATATTATGTTCAAAATAATAATGATATTGATACGTCGTCAAAAAATTATCTTAAACGGGCGCGAATCTCGATGCAAAATCAAGTTGTAAATTTCAAAAATTAATTCGGAGACCATCCAAACTCTGATTTCAACAAACTTATAGTCAAACTGAGCGTCTCGGAAATAAGAACCCAACAACACCAAATTCGACTCAATCCGAGCCCAAATGGGTCCAAATCAAGGACCCGAAGCGCTGTTGGAATGTTCAAACCACAAATTGGATAACCAAACGGTTTTCAAACATAACAAGCTTATACTCAAATCGAGCGGTTCGACGAGAAGAATCCAACGAGCCCAAGATCACCGAATTCCGACATCATTAAGGTCTTCAAATGTCTAAAGAACGGTGCATGATTAAGGGATTCAACATCGGCCGTTTATCCGACCACTCCCCATTTACCCTTAATCTCTCATCTATGTACGACCCTTCCAACCAAACAAACATGTATATTATTGTAACTCCCATTATGTAATACGCTCTATATGATGTACATTTGTACCATCAAGCCAAGACCTTCTCCCAAGGAAGGGCCTCATTTGTAATCGACTGTAAATACGAGTGGATTCATTCAAACTAGGTCAGACCCCATGGTTTTTTCCCCTTTTCAGGGGTTTCAAAGTAAAAACTCTGGTGTCTCTTATGAACGTTACACCATCTCTCTTATCTGATTGTGTGCTGGATTTTCGTACAATGCTAAGACGTTAAACTATATATTTTCTCTACCATCGCGAATACTCCAGAATGCAACATATATAAAGCTCGAACCTTATCTCCTAGCGTCAAACGAATGGTGTTGATCAAGTTAGAAGACACATGATAGCTATGTAATATGAACTATTAACATACAGCCCCAATAACTAAGAATTCAACTCCCTCGCCCTTTTGCTCTATAAGGCTTTGGTTTTTTTTTTTTTTTGCGCTTTTGTAAAAGACAGTTTTAAAAAACATTAGACGCTTATGTGAAGACCTTAATGATGCACCGTTCTTTAATACTCAAATGAAATTTTCCAACGGAGAAACATATATAAAAAGCTTTCTCAAAACTGCAGAAAAATGAAAAAATGGAGTTATTGGGAACGTGATTTGACGAACCAAACAATACAAAAAAAAAAAAAAATCTTCCGTTTCCAAACGAAAAAGGCAAAAAAACGCTCAAACAAACAAAGCCTAAGAGGTAACATGCATACTCATTTAAAGTTAACTATGTTAGAAAGTTTCCATATGTGGGCCAATATATTTTATACATATAAATAAAAAATTTTACATTAGACGCTATCTAAAATTAAGTCAATTAAATTCGTGATCTATTTAAGTATTAAATTATTATTTGGCTTATGTGGCATCTCAATTAAATTTTGTATGGAATTAATTTGTGTAGAGGCCAGATATTTATTTTATTTTAATGATGTGCTGAAATAAAATATTTACACTTTAAGTATATAAGAGTTGTGGTCCCCAGTTTAAGCGGTGTAGTTCTCATTTCCCTCATTTCCCATCTTGAGTGAAAAGAAGGGGTCTCTCGCTCTCTTGGAGAACGCCGCTCTAAACGTGGAAGATCGAAATACCTTGATTATGCTTTTCAATGGATTCAGGTACGCTTCTGAAAATTCTTCTCGATGATTTGACATGTCGTTCGGAGACGATCGAATTGATTTTTGTGTCTCCTTTAAATCCTAACAAACTATCCATGCTGACATGGTCTTCATTGATGGACGCCTTGACATTCATTTCATTAAATTCAGCCAACATAAATATTTTGTCTTAATTTAATTATCCTATAAGGAATGGTTTAAGAAAATAAAGTTTTATTTTTATGCCATTTATATGCATATATTATATATTTGGTATAATATTATTTTAACTTGTTTGTTTATTCTGCCTCATAAAGTTAGTCAGGATATAATCGATCAGGTTGAGGGTTGGTTTGATTTTTGGGTTTACAATTTTGATTCGTTTGCATAATGATAAGGGTTTGAGTTAGAAGAGTTTAAAGCATGTCAATGTCAAGTTAAAATTGAACTTGACCCAATAATCTGTTTTGACACTCTTATTTGTAACTGATAACATACTCTACTCGAATCATTTCAATTGAGTAAGTCCCTATGATATTTTCTTTCTTTATGTAAAAATTGGCATAAAAAAATTGGCATCTCTTACAATATTTTTTTATTTGTTATATTAGTTCAGAGTTAGATGCCAAACTCCCTTATACTATGTGAATATTCTAACGTGCAAAATGTTTAAAATGATATTTCAATATAGAAAAAATAAGATGGGGGTTAAAATAATAATCCATCATATTTCATCTTCTCGCTATAAAAAATAACTAAGGAGATTTGAATGGGTCTATGATGATTGGCTAGGTCGTAGAATCTAATTTCAAAATCTATGGGCAGGCCTAGATTTGAACTAAGATGAGCCATCAGTTTTAGGTGACTAGATTAAGGTTTGGAGTGCCTAGGAAAAAGGGTTAGAACAAGTCAAGTAAGGTCTAGATTAATCTGATTAGGTTTTAGCAATAAAAAAAAGCCCAAAGAGGTGTAATGGGGTATAAGAAATCCTTTACTTTCATCATTTAGCTTAAGTTAACTAGTCTGATTCATACAATTTATGCTCTATAACTAAGGTTTCGTTTGGGACGATTTTCTTACTGCCTCTTAAAATATTTGTTAATACAAAAAAATTTACTTTTGTAATAGGAAGCTGCTTTAAGAAGCAGTAAGAAAGCCGTCCCAGACGAAGCTTAAGATTATATACGCAACTCAACATGATCTATTGGTTGGACGCTTTAGCTACTAATCAAGATATATTGAGTTTCAGTCTTGCATATGTAATGTGTGTAAGTTTATCTTAATTGTTCAAAATGTCACAAAAAAAAAAAAAAAAAAAACTAAGATTATATCAATATAGCTATTTCTAAAAATTAAAACCAATTAATTAGGGGCAAACGATCACTTTGATTTTTATTTTTCATTTTATTATATTTAATTTAATTCAAAATAAAATATAATTGATACTCAATAAATTAATTTCTTAAATTTATTAAACATAGGTAGTGTTAAGAGTTGTCCAAGGTGGTGGGTGGTAGTTTGTGTTTTTTTATTAAAAATTAAAAACCTAATAAAATTATATATTTGATTACTTTTAAAATAATTTGAATAAATAGCTAAAGCTAAAAAAAATAAAAATAAATATATATATGTTAAAAAAAAAGGAATCCTAAATAGTCCCCTTAAATCACAGCAAACTCCGTAAAGAATTATGATGGCCTTTTCAGTCCGAGAGAAGATACGAGCAGTCCAGTGAGCCAACGGCCATCAGCGAGGGCATCTCTTGCTCTCGGCCTCGCTGTACGACTGACTCTTCGTTAAAATGGTCTCTTATGGGCACTATTCAGGCAATGCTAAGTGCTAAACTATCTTTGTCTCTCGGGTCATTGTCGACTCCAGCTAGCGCGCTTCTCTCTTACAACTCACTTTTTTTTATGTCAGCACCGAGGGAACGCTCTTTTCTCAAGGCTTGCTGGGGATCAAGGATCGATTGAACTGGAGGAGGAGGAGATCTCGGGACGGTGGTCAGACCGTCTCGAGCCGATCTCCTTGGATATAAGTTCCATCTGTAATTTTTCTTTAAGCTTACTTTATTCTCACGGGTTTGATTCATTGAATTCTTATTGTTTGATTCATTGAATTCGTGTTTGCTTGATTTCTTTTCCCAAGATGCGATTTTGGCATCTGAGTATGTCGATATTTGTCCGGTACAGGTCTTTGCCTTGAAGATAGCTTGAAAACAAATTATTCAAAGGGACTTTGATGGAAGATTTATTTCTTTGCTATTTGTTGTTTGTTTGGATTTGCTTGACAAAGTCGCAGTCTGTTTACTTGAAAGGTGAGGGATCCTCTTGGTTGTGTTTGGCCTGCTTTCCTTTTTAGGATTGTTTCTTTTGGAGATTTTTCCCGACTTTTTTAGTGCGTGGTTGTATGTTTGATCATTATATTGGATAGAATTTTATGGGGATGCAGTAATCGGTTCTGAGTTTCTCTTTTTTCTGTTATGCCTTTCGGTGGTGGATTGTACTTCTTGGTGGAGATCCTTTGAGCATTGAAGGCTGCGTGCCTTTTTTTTTTGCTGCGTGCCTTCTCTTAGGAAAGGAATAGGCGAAGGTCAACCCTGCTAGATTTAGTCTATGTTTTATGACCTTTTGAGTTGGGGTAGTTTCACGGAGTCTTCTTGACTTTACTTGTGAAGCAATGCCCGTGACTCGCATACTGCTTTGTTGGTTGGCCATTATTCCTTCCACTATTGTGTAGTTGATTTACTTTTGCCGCATGTGATCTTTCTTTGAGCCCAGCTGTTTCATTGAAGGCTTTTGTTTTTCTCATTGATTCGATTCATTCTAAATATTTACATTCAGTATTCCATTGATTTTATGTCTTATTAAGACAATTGGTATTTATTTCTGTATTTGTTACCTCTTTGTTCACCAATTTTGTATGTAGCCAACCTTTATAAAGGTTGTATTCATCTTCCTAAGCTTCCGATTGTTTGTAGCAAACTTTTCTTCTGTAATGTACTCATATCTGCTTTAGATTTCTTGGTTCCATATGGTTTTTCATATAATAGTATCACCTTAAAAGTATAATATGCTAATCATCCTTTTTTTATTGTAGGTTAAGTTGAATTTCTAGAAGTAATTTAAGGAATATGGGATGCTTTATATCTACCCCGAAAGATGCAGTTGAATATAGAAGAAGACCTGGAAAACTTGGAGAGGTGGCTGTATATGTGCCTGGATTGCGCATTCCCAAAAGTATTGATTTTTATCAGCACCTTAATGGTAGCATATCAACTGGTTTGATAGAGCGTCTATCAACTCTGAGAACTCGAGTGATTGTGATGACTGCACAAGAAGCACCAATTGAGACAAAGCCATTGCGAAAGACAGCTACACAACATGGTATGATGTCATCTACAATGAATTTATTGTTTCAATTTGAAGAAGCAAGGAAGTTAATGATGTTTTTCTTATTATTGCAGGAGGTTCTACAATAGCTGACCTTTTGCAGGCTCTTGAAGATTACCTACCAGTCCTACTGGGTTTGGCTAAGGATGGTAGTTTTGATGATATAATGATGACTTACACGAAAATTCTTTCGTCCTTGCAATTATAATACTGTTCATTTTGTTTCCAGCTCCTGACAAATAAATGTTCTATAAATTACAGGAAGTGAGGTCAAATATAAGGTGAAGTTTGTATGGATTAATCAGGAGGATGATGTAGAGGTGGAACAACCAATCTTTTACCCCAATGGTTTTATGACTTTAAAGTTTTCTTTTTTAAATAAAGGAACCGCTTTATTCCTGATACTTATTTTCACTTGTACAGGAAACAACCATGTCAAATGTTTCCTACGAGATATTATCCATCCTTCACTTGATGGCTACACTATGCCTTTCTGAGGCCAATCTCTTACTTCTTCCTAAAGCTTCTGTTGATATTTCTCACTCAAGGACTCCGGAAGGTGTGCTATATGTATTTATAGTTATATTTGTTCTGATCTATTGTTTCAGAAAGTTAAACATATCTTACAACTGCGCATTAGCCTTTCAATTCAAGATAAATATGCTAGTTTTATGTGAAGAAAATAGAAAATGCTCTTTATGCATTGTCATTTTCTTGAGGCAATAGTCTCTCTTCCTTTTGTTAGTATAATTATTTTGAGTATTTCTTCATCTCATTGTGTGCATCATTTAGGATAATTATTTCGAGCATTTCTTCATTTTTATTGTGTTCATCGTAGAAGATGACATGATATTAGCCATAATCTCATAGATTTAGTGGCTTTGAGAATGGCTGTTACCAATCTCATGGTTTAAGTCTTTTCTACATTGAAAAAGAAATTGTCATTATTTCGTTGTGTTATGTCTATTAATGCATTGATATTTCTCTTTTACACTTTGGCATGCTAACATCATTTGTTGTGTGCTCCACATCATAGAGAGTAGACGTGCGGCGATTGATATTCTGTTGAAGGCTGCTGGCTATTTGGAATTTGCTGTTCGGCATGTGCTTCCACAGATCCCTCCAGAAGAAAGGTTTGATATATCATCACAAGCTAATTCTATAGTTTTAGATTATTTAGATGCATGTATTTATGGAGAGTTCATTTAGTATGAAGTGTAGGATAACGTATCTTTTGTGATTGTTTTATTTCTTAGTTTTCAATTTTGCAAATTCATGAACTCTTGCTACTGCCTATCCATAGGAGGAATCTTCCTATAGACTTAGCAGAAGGAAAGCTGCGGGCTCTCTGCATGCAAGCATTGGGTCAGGTAAATTTCATTCTTCAGCTGTTCACAGTTCACCTATAAGCTATCTTACAGCTGTAATCTGTCTGTGCAAAAAATTAGCCTGTAATGAATGAATTCATCTGCTAATTGTTATTTCTGCTAGAATTAGATGGGAATATTCCATGTCTTAACAAAATAGTTGAGCAATTTTTGACGCTGAACAATATTAGCTTTGATATTTGATGATGAGGTAAGTCAAAGTGATTGAGATGAATTTCTGCTAGAGATACATGTTGAAGTTAAAGGGATCTTTAGTGTATATCTTTTGGTCAATGTAAGGGCGTCCTTCATAAGATGGAACTACATGTGCTAGGAAAGAAGGCATGTGCCATACTATGCAGAAATTTCATGTAAAAAATTACTTTAGACAACATAGATAGAGTGATCATTCATAGTTTGAACCAGAATGAGCAAGAAACAGAAAATTGTTATTGATTGGACATTAATTCTATTCTTGTTTTAAAAACTGGTCATGATTTAGATCTTTCACCGACAATGGAGGTCTAAAGTTTGTAGGAGCTTCTCTAGTCATGATGACGAGTGAAATCATTTAGGTAGCAATGCAAACTAAAGGGGCTTGTGGCTCATTTGGGGGCATGCTTTGTGAGTGGTGAAATAGGTGCTATAGTCCCACCTCAATACTTGCAAAACAATTTAGGGAATAACTAAATGAAGCGTAGCTCTTAATTTTGAGTCTCTTGATCGCAACTTGTCTTTTTCATTTTTAAAAGCAGATTGAAACTTTACTTCAGTTTTTGAGAGCTTGATAATTTTTTTCAGTTGGAGGTTATAGTTAGGGGTGAGACCTGCAATGCTTTATGGTGCAGAATGATGGCCATTAAAAGAGAAGCATAATAGTAAGTTAAGTGTTGCAGAGACGAGGATACTCAGGGGGATGAGTGACTTTACTCTTAAAGATAGGATATGAAATGAGCGTATACGTGAAAAGGTTGGAATAGCTCTAGTGGAAGTTAAGATTAGAAAGAGTTGCCTTAGATGGTTTGACCACATAAATGAAGACCTTCCAATGACGAAAAATTATTCTGTGCGGAAGCCGAACCCCGTCCGGATACCTAAGCCCGCGGCTTGGTACCGCGACTCGGTATCACTGATGTGGCTCATTCTGGTTGGTATCTGGATGTAGAGCTGCGTTTGGCGTCCGCACTAATAATCTCTCTCCAATGACTCGGTTAGGAAAGTAGATGTATTAGATTTGACTTGTGTTAAAAAAGGTAGAGGTAGATCTTAAAAAACTTGGTTAGAAAGTATTAAAAATGATCTTTCTCTATTAGATTTAAATTATAATTTGACTCTTAACAAGACATAATGGAGAAAAAAAGATTCATGTAGCTGACCACATGTTGTGGGATAAAAGCTTGATGTTGTTGTTGTTGGAGGTTATAGTTAGGAGTGTCAAAACATAAACCGACCCATCAACTCGACCCGAAAAATCTGGATTTGGGTTGACCCGCCAATTCAATTTTGACCTGTTTAAACTTTTTCCTTAAATTTTTTATCTTTTGATATTATATATATACTAGTTTTATTGCACGTGCATTAAATGCACATGAATAAAAAATTATATTATGAATATTTTAATTATATTATCATTCTTTTAAGAGAAAAAATATTAAGTTTATAAAAGAAAATAAATTCTAAACAGGGGAAGTTATTATTGATGGAAATGACTTTATATAAAAATTTAAACAAAGCTAATTATTAAGTTGAAGATGATTTAGCTTGTTCTCATACTTAATTTTATGTTTTTTTAAAATAGATTCGAATTTATATAAAACATAAGAATGAATTTCAATATATTGTATAAATCAAAATAGAAAAATATTATATATATCCTCATGAGCAATTTTCAATTTTAGTCATTTAGGATGGAAGAAAGAAATATTTCAAATAATATTAAATCAACAACAATATGTACCTACATTAATTTTTTATATAACGTAGGACAAGATCTACTGTTCTGCAGCACTTACTAAATAATATTTAGATTTAAAAGAAAGTAGATAATTAATTTTATGCATCGAAATGAATCTCTATCTAATTAACATGGCGGAGAAAGTGATATCAAGAAATTGAAATATAGCAATTAAGCAAAATTCCTTTTCAATCACATTTATATCATGGCTAGCTATGAACATAACATAGCACCCTTAGATATGATATAAGGTGAGAAAGGAAAGTTTTAAAACTCATCTGAAGCTTTTCCTTCCATAGGTTTCTAATTGAATTGTAGCAATTGGGTGTTGGTACATTAGCACCTTGGTTATAACACCTAACATTGGCATTCAATACATTTGCGTGTATAAAATGCATCTGAATAAAACTTAAAATTACAAGATTAATATTTTAAAATTATAAATAACATTAATTTATTTAAATTTTATTGCTTATAAATAAACATTGAAATAAACAAACTTGGTTAATATTTCAAAAAGAATAATTCATCAGACATTACAGGTTGACACTTCATACTCCACTTCATTGTGCCCTTTTTGGGCTCTCCTGTTAAGCTAGTGCTCTTTAATAGTACCAAAACTCCCGACAACAAAAATTTTTCACTATTATGGTCCTCAAATCTTACACTTCCTGACATACTTATTGCAATGAGCCTGCAAAAGAAATTAAGAAAACTGTTTTTATGCATTTTCAATCTTCATTCATTTCATTTCAATGTTAAGTTTTCATAATATGCTGAATATATTTTGCATGAATTGAATGAGTTGCAAACACCTTACTCTTTAGTGTCTCACTCGCATTAAATTATATGTATGAAAATGTGTGTTTCAAAAAGAAACTTTGACACAACCAAGAAACAAACTGAAAATTTGTTTGCTTCTTTACAAAATTATTAATTAAGTTATTTTAAAAAAATTGGAAATTTTAAGAATAACTTAAGTTTCAAGAAGAAAAAAATATAATGTAATTAAACTATCAACAACATTCTTATTCAATAAATAGCTCAATTTTTGGACCATAAAAAAAATTATTTCAATGAGTATACAGTACATACAAAAATGTTAGGAAATGAACTAAATGTTTCCTTTTAACTATATGGTCAAATAGTGAATTTTAAGTCAAATTAATTATCCATGTATAAGAACAATAAGTTCAGAAATGTTATTTACCAAATCTTCAACACAAAGCAGAAGGAAAAATCCACCTGTACGACCAAAAAAAGGTATTTGAGGCATATAAAAGCCCAAAAGCTCATCTATTTTAAATAAAATAATGAGGAGATATTGATAACAGTAACATTGAATGAAAGGAAGAATCATCGAACTATTACATAGTTATTTATTTATTTTTTTGAGGAAGTTAATTTTTTTTGGGAAGTTATTTACATCTCAAGAATACAAAAGATAAAGCATAAATGCATTGGTAACAAGTGAGATTTAACTTTAGTGGGATTTAGTAAATCTGGTAAATTAGGATTTAGTAAATCTTGAGGCTGTTAAATCCTGAAAACTATTTGATATGACATATTAAATCTTTTAAATCCTATGAAATTATTTGATAATTTATTTTGAGATTTATGCATGTTAGAGATTTAAATGTGAAAAAGATATTTATAAATAAAAAAGTATAATTTAAAAAAAAAATAATGAGTTATGGATTTACAACATGTTAAGTAGAAGTAACTCATTAATTATTATTTACTAGGTGGGAACTCTTCAATCTCATTAATGAGATTACCTAATTTGTGAAGTAGGACATTCCAACCGGTAGATGGGAACTCTTCAATCTCATGGCTTGTTTACCTGGTTTCAAATATATATAATGGAGAAAATGCGATAGTTATCTTGGAGAACCGAACCGTCGTTTGTTGAAAGGGGGTCAGTTCATTAGAAGTTCAGATGACCTATTGAGGAAACGTTATAGAAGTTGAAAACAACGAAATAATTGGAATAAACCTGCGATGCGAGTTGAGTAAATACCGGTAAGAAGAAACGTTAAAGAACTTTAAGAGACTGAAACATTTGGAGAGACAAATTTACCGGAGAATTTGGAGAGACAAATCTACCGGGGAAGATGGTGAGCAAAGCTAGGGCAAGCCGAAGACGGTTCTTTAACGTCTTCAATCTCAAGCGTTCCACCGCGCTGAAGAAGCCATTTTTTAACGTCTAAGTGATAAATCAACCACTTACCACAGTCTAAATGCACGTGAAGAAGACATAAAGGATATCATTTTAGTGAGAATCACTTTTTTTATTATTTGAATTCAAACTACGGTTCTCAAGCATTCAAAATTTCAACAGAGGGAAACCAATCATTAATTAATAGGATAAACGAAGCGTTAATATGATATTAGTTAAACAATGATAAATTAATATATCACATTTACTTTAAATGAAGATATGTTTTTTTTTAATATTCTAAAAAAATAAAAAAGGCTGTCGTGTTATTAATTATTTGAAAGCAGTTTTAAAAACTGGATTTAATTGATTCGAGATGGTTTGAAACTTTTATTGAGTCTTTTGTTGGGTTATTAATTAAGCAGTATTATTATGTTATTAATTGCAAAATAATTATTATATGGATTAAAATTTATTAAATATTTATAATATAATGAAGGGTCAGAATAACACACAAGACATTGGGGCAAACAATTTTTGTCGCCCAACCACCGAAAATGAAGCTTTCAAATTACTTAGACTAGTAAGTTAGGGAGGAATTATTGACATGTTCAAAATCTCATTCTTAAAAAGATTTAGCACTGTATTTTAGTTATTTGAAAATGTAAAATTAGAGTTAAACTAATGAAAAACTGACAAAAAATTTAGTTATTTGAAACTTACAAAACTGATTTCATCAGGAGTTCAATAGTGTTCAGATTTATGCTTGTTTTGCTTATTTGCATGACGATATCAATCTTTGTAGTCTTGTTGACTTTGAACTAATACTGGATAGCGGTTCAAGAAAACCTAATGCATCTCTCTTGAAGCATGTGGTATTTATAAATATAATGTTATACTCCACCTATCAATTGGGATACAAAAATTATGAATATTATTTTCAGGTGTATTTTGCACTTTGTGCTTACAGATGCTTAATACCCTTGATTATTTATGTACCATTTAAGTTAAAAAAAAGTTTAAAAATCATTGGTTACGATAACTACTTGGTCAATTATCTAACAATATTGAATAATACTTCATATTCTTCGTACAAGAAATTATCAAATCGAAAAAAAAAAATTTGATGTGCTTGCCTATCTTATAGTTGAGTAATGCCATTGGCCTTGATTTTTAAAAGATAGTTCAAAACCAAGGTCCTTAGGAATCACTAATTTTGTATCTTTAAATATAAAGCCATCATAAAACTTTAATATCTTTGTTACTACATATTATTGTATGATAGATAAAGATCAACCATGTCTGTTCTCATTTTGTTGTACTCTATAGTTAAAATATGCGAGGTAAATGTTTTTTGTAAGCCCATCATTAAAACTAGTGGCATACTTGATTAGGATTTTAATCAGGACTCTGACTATTTATGCTAATTGGCTATTCATGGTATTTTAACGCAATATGCTGCTGTAGTGGTTGGTTTTACTATAGCAATAATAATAATAATGGTTTGCTTGAGTTTTTGGTTTAATTTAATTTGATTGAAATTATTTTTTTATAGCAATGATTAGCCTTTGGCAACTATTTATATTTATTAAGGTTTAGTTTTATATAAGGTTCTAATTGCTTCTTTGGGGGTTGCGATCTTCATTGTTCGCTTATGACGTTTTGCTATTAATTATGGAGATGCTTTATAACGGACAGTCAAAATCATGTACTAGAAAATCATATTATGGAGTGTTTGAGGTAAATAAATAAAGCTATAACAAGAAAGATTACATTAAATATATCTATGTGATTAAAAAATGAATGTGTGATAAAACTTGAAAGAAAGAATGAGAGTATTTATATTAGAAAAATGATGGGAATAGCACTATAGCACCTTTTGTAGATGTGATATTAAAAATGATTTGAGCTCATACAAAGGAGAGTAAAGGATTATGAAGGAAAAATGGAAGATCAAAATTTAGCATGCCAAGAAGTTATGCAAATGATTTATGTAAAATAGTGTAAGCACCTCATGTATCACTCAACAAAAATGAATGGAGGAGAATCAACAAAGCTGTCTTCATTGCACTCGAGTAGTTGTGAGAAGGCTAATGATTATGACAATGTTGTATGGCATGCTTTTATAATCTTTTCCATGATGTATTAACTATAGTAATTTATGTGGATGGAAAAAAAATAACAATGCATTGTTTTATTTCTTTTTATTAAAGTTAAAGCTTAAAAGAGTCAAATGCATGTCATTATTTTTTTAAAAAATTGCTTGTCTTTGCCTTTTTTTAATTTAGTCTTAAAATCTTTTGTCTTTATTGCCCTTTTTTTTACTAACTTTGCTCGTCATCTTATCTTTTTCTGTGTTATGAATGTATTCTTTGATTTCAATTATAAAAATAATTTTCTAATAATTATATGTGGATCCTTTGAAGCAGTTAGAAGTTTCTGACAAAGTAGTTCATACATTTTTATTTTTAGAGTTCCTCTTTGTTTTGCAGGGAGTTGATCTTCAACTTGGTTTGGCAATTGATAGTCCCAAGGCCACATTAGCAGTGAAAAGAAGGTTAGCTTGTGAGATGGTCAAATGCTGGCAGCAGGTAACTGCTTTGTTCTTCATAACTGAATTCATCTTCCGTTCCAAATGTAGCTCTATTCTGCCTGTGTTTATTGAAAATGGGTTGCCATTCTTCATGTAAAAGTCACCTTTCAGTAGAGAGCTTACGTTTGGTTTTTAACCTCCTCCATAAGATGGAGAGAATTAAACAAAATAGGAATTTCTACGTTAGTAAGAATTTATTAATTTTGACAGTTTTTTAAATTCTAGCAATCCTTGGGCTTAATTAACCTTATTGCAATAATTACAATCGTCTAGTGGCTTACTCTTCTGTGGTAGGACCTTCAACATTCTCCTTCTTATTTATAATTCTGAGCCGTGGGATTTTTTCTTATTGAAAGAGATATTTTTCTTTTCTCAAGTATAATAGATATTGCACTAGCTTTAAGGACATTAAGAATTGGAACAATAGTTAATTCTATCTGAAGTTTTTCCTAAAGCCATACAGCATATTTCATTAAGACAGTTAGACCATTCCATTACACATAAATGATGCCTTAACATGTATCTGATTCTAACCTAAAACAAGTTTTCTGCCTATTTTCCTCTTATTATTTAAAATGGTAACAAAGCCTTGCTGATGTGTCTCACACAATCCTCACTCATTGACACAACCCCCAATCCCTTCACTGCCAACGATGGCTTATTCTCACTGTTTTTTCCTAATATTCACCCATAATCTTTGTCATTGCTTGGATGACTCTCATTTCTACATCTACTTTTGCTCCATCACCACTGATCATTGCCACACCACTTACGGTTCACCACTCAAGTAGATCTAGCATAATTGTTGCACTTCTTATTGAGAAAATGTATGAATCATCATATATGGATAAATATAGACTGGTATGTCCACTTTATAATATCTTAGTATCTTTTATTAGTAGTGGACATTATTTTATATCCAATAATAGCTTTTGAAATAAGATGAGCGTGACAATTTGAGAATTATGTAGATGATATGCTAAATGTGAAGCTCCATGGAGGAGCTGGAAAGAGAGAAGATGCCAAAGCATTCATGGAAAGGTCATGGTATAAAATCAAATAAAATGCATTATAGACTAATATCCGAACTTACTTGAATGTTCATCTTATAATCATTTGCCTAAATTCATTGCTTGGTTTTATATGGTCCCCAAATTTATTATTTGGTTTTATATGATCTTACTTTTTAATAATTCTTAAGGCTTATGTAGGAAACTTTATAGAATTTAGATGGACTATTACCTTATCATTTGATTTGAATTTCACATATCTTATGCTTAAATCATTGATAAACTTATAATTGTCATAACTAACAATCAATTTTCTATGAAAACTTCATGTAAGTCATACAAATTGCTATTGAATGATACAATATGATGTGATGCATGCACTGACAATGCTAAAAATAATAATATATTTTTAATGAATACACAATAACCAATTCCTAGAGTTAGAGATGGTAAAGAAAACTTAAAATATGATGTGTTTATATGGATGGATTACTTAAAAAAAATCAAATGGTTTAAAGATTGGTCATGAAATTAGGGCTGAAATTGAGCCCAAATTGAACTCGACTCAAATCGATTTGGATCGATTTGGGTCCGAGCGGGTCCGATCGAGTTAATTTTGTGAAATTAAGCTTGAATCGACGCCGAATCGCGTCGAATTGAGCTCGACGGGGTTCGATTGGGTTTTAATTGATTTGATTTAATTTTAATTTAATTAAATTGATTTAATTTAATTAAATTGGAGTCTAATTTGAGTCGATTTTGTCTCGACGTCGATCGATCGAGTCGATCGAGCGCGATCGAGCCTAGTCGGGCTCGATCGGGGTCGAGTCGGTGCGAAAATATTCGTCAACAATAATATTTAGGAATTACTTTATTAGTTCTCTTAATTGATTCTACAATTTTAGTAATCATGAATCATGATATGTTAAGCTTCACATTTATGTTAGATAAATTTTCTACTAGAAGTTTAGTTTCATTTATAATCTCATGGAAAATTTCAATTTAAGAATCAAATTATACCTGTTATTCAAATATAGAATCAGGTTCATGAACGTGTTCTAGGGTGGATATAGTTCATAATCAACAAATTTAGATGAAGAATCATATTGTAATCGAAAAAAGATTCAAGATGGTCCCTTGACTCCTTTATGAAAGATCAATATAGTTCCTAACTAAATTAAAATATCATCTTGGTCACTCAACTCCTTAAAGAGAATCAATTTTGATTCCTATTTAAAGACTTAAAGGATTAAAATGGTCTTTTAATATAGTTGAAGACTATTTTGATCATTCATAAAAGTCAATGGACCATTTTGATTATTTTTCTATTGTAATTATAAATCTTGACACATCATCATGGGAATACCCATGCACTGCAGTCTAGGGTCAATTTAAACCATATATGATTCTTGTGTTTGTTTCTATTTTGATAGAGATCATAATGATTTTTTTTGGGGGATATTAAACACAGTAGTGGCAATCTTAACAAAATAATTATAATATTTTTCAATCTTCAACTTAGTGTAACGAATCATCTAATATTTTTGGAGAGTTTGGCTTAATTCATGCTCAATTTCCTACTCAATGCATTTATTCAAACATATAATGACAACAGAGTAATTCAAATGCAAATAATATTTAGCAATAATATCTATAAACCCATCAAATTATCCAATCATAATATAGTTATTTAAAGCTCTTAAATTGATCATTTAGTTTATTTCTATCATCACTGTGACAAATATTGCTCTTTAAATACATGTTTCACATCAACTTATGCAGATTTTATTTCACTTATAGTACTTGGTCAAATAATCTAGCACAACCGCTTATTTTTTTATCTATATCAACCTTTAAGAGACAAACTTAGTGTATCTTTAAAATAAAGTTTTCAAATCATCATTGAAGCTTGAAATTTTTCTAATGCAATAATATTGTTATGAACGTCATAATAATTATGCTGAATTCATCTCGAATCATAATTTATTTCGTTTAAATTGCATATTTTGTTAATTGACCAATTATTTTGTTTGCTCATAGTTGACATTATGATAAACCCTTAAGCTCTGATATCAAATCTGATGCATGTTGTCTAAGTGTCTATGGTTTTTTAATACATATCTAGGATGAGATATTAAAAATCACATGCGCAAGGTCATATTCGCAGTCACAAAATCTTAATTTGGACAAATATTCACTGCTTAAGATGAAATTTTAAAAAAAGTGCAGAATTCACTAAACAATTAACGATAGTCTCATATAAATCTTGCATATAAGTTCAGAAGCATAAAAGAATCAAACGTTTGATCTAAATCTCACACCACAATCGAAAAGATGAAATGGTACCATATATGAAATATTTAATCATACAAAAAAATTGATCGCTAGCTAGAGAATATAAAATAGTGCAAGGAAAAGAAGGCACTAGATGGCAATCCACAAGCCAAATACCAGTATGAGACTGGTAACTTTCTTTAGAAATCTGCAATATTCAGTTTCACCAAACTAGAAAAAATACATCAAACTGCCACTAGAGTAAATTGGAAAATAACCTGTCATCAAAGTAAAATGTTAATGAAATTTTATTTAAATGCCTTAGATGCCCTTTTTTATAATTACAAAATTAGCAAGATGGGATCCACCGGCGCATCTTGAAGAGATAAGTTTAGTTGAAATCCTACAGAGTAGCAATCATAGTTGCAAATCTGATCCACATATACAAGTGCTCGCAGAAACACAATGCAAGGCTACTGATAAGTTTAATAGCCATCTCCACATAGAAGATTGCATCGAACCAAGCAAATTTTAAAGTTATGACTCACTTCACTACCCAAATTAGCAACGAAGCAATGCCTAGAAGATCCAAGCCACAGACCAAGCACAACACAGAGATTAAAGTTTTGTAGTAGCTACAATCCTGCATCAAAGGTTCTTAAACCTGACCCCAAATAGTTGGTATAAAAATGATGATTAGTTTGTTTGAAATGATGCAGTTAGAGTGTTAATTCAGATTAATGTGTTTGGTTTATGATTGATACAACTCAAAATTGTTTGACCCAAACCCCCACTATTTATTGTATGGGTACCCAAACCCGAGTCGACACAAACCTGATTTACCCGAAAGTCCGAAACTGATACCTATGACCCATTTATTATATGGTTTATACATTTTTTTGGTGTCAGCGTGAGGCAATCAAACTGAAATGACTAATTGAGGTGAAAGAGGGTTGCTGACTATTCAAGGAGATGTATTTTAGACCCAAAAAGTAAATAAGTTATTTTTTGGTTGATATCTTTTTTTTTTTTTTGGGTTAACATGAATTCGAACCTAAAATCAAATGGGTTTACATTTTAGACCTGAACTTGACTTTTTTATTAGGGTAAAGTGGTAAACTTAAATTTAAATTTTTAGAGCCGAGTTCATTTCAAATCATTTATTAACACTCCTAAATGCAATTAAAGATCATTATTTTGATTTATTTATTAATCTCTTCACGATAAATCTTGATCTGCTTCAACGGTTGTATTACTTTTGACTTGTTTGCCTTACTAATTTTTAATAAGATCTTGGTTAGCTTAAAAATGCTAAGTGATTTTACTTGATTGGATATGGTAAAAAAAGCAACTAGTTTAAGATGTTCCAACAAGTGATGAACCAATGAAAATCATTGAGAGTAAACAAGAGGATGTTGAAGTTTTTAGGCTGTGTGGAATTCATGGAGTTTGTGTTATGAGAATACCTAAGGAACCCAAAAAACATAGGAGCAATAATATCGGCATATCAATATCATCTATCAATGTGGAAGACAAGATCTTTGGTCTAATTGGGTCAACTATTTCTTCTAAGTAAATCAGGGACCATAAAAATCTTTGATGACGAAATTGTGGGATCTTAACCAGGCCTATAATCATTCCCCCAACATCTGCTTTAAATATAATGTGATAAATTTGAAACCATATATCGAAATTATTACTACCATATATTAAATACTTAATGCCAATTTAATGATTAGCTTTAATTTAAAGCTCTCTCTCGCTATCGAGAGAAATAATTAACCATTGGGGCTTGAGCCTATGAGAAATCTAGAATCAGATTTTAAAATCCTTGCAAAATGAAGGCGAAATCTCTGGGTTGTCTTATCTTCAATCCAGTTTGCTTTTCAAAAATTTAACTTAGAAAACTTTAAAACTCTCTTTGTGGAGGCGGAGGCATAAATTCTCGGAGCCCACAAAGTGCAGCTCATAGATGACAGAGTTTTTTATGTTAAAATCCCAAAAGAAAATATCATGAGACGTGACATAGTTTAAATGATTCCATTGATGTGAGTCTAAGTTACATATGATATCCTTACCTACAATTGGAGAAGGCGTTGATATGTTGTAATAGATATCAATTGAGGAGGATGGCTTCCATGGTGAAAGTTGGAGAAGACTTGGGGCATTAGAGTTCCCTTCAAGTGATTGTTAGTAGTTTGTTTGGTCTTTTTTATTAAAGGAGGGAATATCAAAGATTATCATAAGCCTTAATATCGATCTCAAGCATAGGCGTTGGTGCCATTGTTGAGCATCAACATTTTTTATGTTGACAATGGATAATAAACTTATTTGCGATGGTGAGTGTCCACCTTGTTTACAATGATGTGCATCATTGTTGGTGTCAATGCTAAGCATTGGTCTTGTTGGAGACGATGGGATTTGAGGTTGATTTTGATGGTGAGAGTTGGTATTGTTAGTGTGTGTTATCCTTGTTGGTGGTGGGCGTTGGGCTGACATTGATTGCATGCATAAGCCTTGCTAGCAATGGAGAGCATCAATGTTGTGTCGACAATGTGCATTAGCTTTATTAGAGATAGCAGGACATTGGTGTTGACGACATGCATCAACCTTGTTGGTAATGATGTGCATTGACGATATCATTGGCTTTCTTGATGATAACGTGCATTGATGTTTGTGTCAACGACATGCATCAGCCCTGTTGGCGATGAGGGGCTTTGACATTTTTCGACAAAAGGTGCCGATGGTTGGGAGACTGCAGTTGGCCAATGACTTTTGAGAGTGCGTTAAATGGTGGTGATTATTGGGCAAAGCTCAAGGATTTTTCAAGTTTACGAGTTCTCTCTCATTTTCCTTCATATGTTGAATGAGGATCTATATATAGTTTTTTTGAATAAAATTTTGATTTGTTAGCCAAAATTTTCAAACACTCCATCATATGGCATGTGTTGATCCTTTTTATCATATAAGATTTTTAAGGCATTTAAGTATCTCAATTACATCAAAATTGAGTGATCTAAGGTCATTGGATTCCTCTCACCGAGATGTTTGTTTTGACCATAAGCACACAAGATTCATAGATCATTTGATTCCTCAAATGGTGTTGTGGTATTTACAACTATACTTCTGAGTGCTTGATTTATGATAATTTATATTCATATCAGGACACTTTTAGTGTCGTTGGCTTCAGTCCCATTGAAATATTTGTTTCTACTATAAGTTTGTTGAGAACAGAGTTTAGATGGGCCCAAATTTAATTTGGGACAATTTTGATTCAAATATTGCAGGAAGATTAGTGCTTGAGCGGATGAATTTTCTAATGATATATCAATTTTTATTGTCAGTATTCTTTTTACTCCCATCTAACTATAGATCCCTTCCCACATACATGACCCAAAAAATGAAGTTCATAATGTGTCATCCAGCACTAGACTTATCACTTGCATCCCAATATCACCAAATTGTTTAGCATTTTATATTCTACAAGATTTATATCTTCTCTGCTGTTGTTATTTCAGCATAGGAAGATGAGGGCATGATGCTTGGCTTGTATGTCTGTTTTGTTGGCCTTTGCTTTAATGTTGCCTTCTCAAGTATTCTGTTTTCTGCAGTTTTAATCTTTTACGATCCTCTACTAAGCATTTTGAAATTTTGAAAGCAACTTTTGCATTTTATTTTAAGACCACAACTGTAAGAGAAAATTTAATAAAGTGCTTCATCAATCCATCATATCTGCTGACATAAAATATGTTTTGCTTATGGTTCAGCTGATGATTCCTTCTTATTACCGTTTTAAAATTTCTTCTAAGATATGGTTGCATCCTTATGAGATACTGTCCTAAGACATCCAGTACCTGAGTTTTTCTACAGTGTTATGTGCCATATAAGGCAATCACTGGTACATTACATTAGAATCTTGAATCTCCTTGAATTTGGCTTCTTAGTGCTAACTTTTGGCTCCTATAACTTTTGATTGTTGAGCTGAGCTTAAAGGTGTTTTTTTTCTTTGACTCTAAATTATATGCCCTACTCTTATGTGAAGCTTTAAATTATTCAGCATGTTTTTAATGAACTGATGAATTCCTTATCTACACAGGCCCAGGATCACATCACACAACTTCCTCTCGTTGATGGTTGGGGGCAGAAGCACCGTCTTTTTATTGAGTGGAAATACAATGAAGCAAAGGTGTGTTTATAGTTTACTGAATCCAGCATATTTTACCTCAGAATAATTTTTATTATAGGATGACTAATCAGCACTAACTATCAAGATCTGGTAAGTGGGCAGGAAATGATGCTAGGAGTGAAGTAATTTTAAAGCTAATTCTTTCTCTTGTAGAAATATAGTTTTTTTTCCTCAAAGGTTTCTCTTGAAAGATGGAAAAGTATGCTTACCTCTTGTATTTGCCTCCATCTTTTTTGTTGTTAAATATGTTGGCATAAAATCATTTCTAAAATAAATGAAATATATTAATAACAAGCACAACTGAACTGATGAGGACATCGAAGATCAACGGCTATGATCGTGTCTATTTATTTTGATGTATTTTATTTGTTATTTATACTTTTTCCTTTCTACCCTTACTTGAGGGCTTTGTCTTATATTTGTCCTAGGGGCAATTGTGTCTTTTTATTTTCCTTCATGTGTTTGGCTATTTAAGCCCTCCCCTTCCTCTTGGAAAGGGATGATGATTATTGTTAATAAAAATTTTTGGTTTTGGATCTCTTTGTGAGTTCTAAAGTTCTCTCTGTGAGTTCTCAAGTGAGGAAAGTCTAGGAGAGGCTCAAAGCAATACCCAACAGCCCCTTGGTGGAGCTCTTGGTTTTCTGCCCCATATCTTTTCTTCTCCTCTACTATTTTCCCCACCCACCCACCGACTCACTTGGCCCCCGAAGCCACCGGCCACCTCCACTCACCGCCGACCTCCAGCTGCCAGCGCCCAGCCGCCAGCCTCCAACCGCCAGCATCCATCCGCCGGCTCCCAGCCACCAGCCTCCAGCCGCCGGCATCCAGTCGTCGGACCTCCAGCCACCAGCCTCCTGCCGCCGGCCTTCCCCTTTGCCACCACCCACCCGCAATAACTCCTCCATCCCCTCCATTTTCCCTCGTGGCATTTGATTAGTTTCCTAATTTGGAGAGGTCACTTGGCAGGAGTTTCAAATCCAAACTTCAAATTTGAATTAGGAGTTAAATGCCTCCTCAATTTCTCCCGTCATTAAGGAATTAATCGCAGCTTTAAATCTGAAATTTAAATTCAGATTTAAGGATTAATTCACTTA